AGTCCTCCGACTTCATGGAGAACAGATGCCAGCCAGTCATTGCATCTGGGTGGCAATGTAACTGTCAGACACCTCCAGGCAACGTGGCTGTGATCACCCAAGGACACTCCCCTGGAGAAGGTTGCTGGTGTGAGCCAGTGGTGACAGCCATCAAAAGGATCCCTGGGGAAGGGGGCATCACTCTGTCTCCCACAGTTTCCATTCAACCAAGCAAAGGGAGCTCTGAGCGTGTTTCCTGACCTCTTCCTTCATGGCTGATGTGGAATCTATTTTGGGGGAAGGATTACAGAGTCCTTAGCACAAGGCGATTAAAAGGAATAGACTATAAGAAACAACTCAAGTGTCCCCTAAGTGATGAATGGATAAATAAAATATGGTAAATCCATACAATAGAGTAATATTCTTTAATAAAAGGAATGAAATACAGATACATACAGCAACATAGATGAACCTGAAACATTATACTAAGTAAAAGAAGCCAGACTCAAAAAGACAAATATTATGATTCCATTTATATGAAATTTCCAGAATAGGCAAATTCATAGAGACAGAAAGCCAGGGGATGGGGAATGGAAAGAGACTACTGACACAGGGGTTTCTTTTCAATAAGCTCATGTCAGATCAGTGGTAACCAGGTTCAAGTGGTGCCTTTGTCTCTTCCCGGAAGAGGAAGGAGGGAATCCCTTGAAATTCCATCCTCTGCATTTGCAGCGGGCACTGGCTTGGTGCCTAGGTCAAGGTACTTTAATATGTGAGATTCTTCTATTTAAAAAATGTTTTTAAGAGTTATTTTACGGCGTATAGCAAAGAACAGAATTGCTGGGTCATAGGTCATGGGCATCTTTAACTTGACTAGGGAACAATTTTTTTTTTAAAGATTTTTATTGGGGAATTGGGGGGATGGGAACAGCACTGGGGAATTGGGGGAAGGGGAACAGACAAGTTCCTGTCTTTTTGTTCTTCAGTCTAGTTGTGGAGGACGTTGCTTCACCGGCCCAAGCTGGCACCATCATTGCGCTCTTCCCGAGTGAGGCAGATCAGTCGTCGGCTTCTGGACGGCCGCTCACGGCGGCTTGAG